ATCCTGGGGGGGGGGGGGGGGGGGGGGGGGCACAGGCCCCCAAAACTCTGAGAGTATGTCTTGGCCCCTCCAAAGCATTCCCAGAACAGAGTATCAAAACAAAACGCATGTTGACGCGGCTTAGTCATACTTTGCGCAAACATCGTGTTTGATAAGTGCACTGGACCTCGGATCCCACACCGACCAGCTAGCGATGAACGGTTGGCCCTCTCCCCAAACTCCAGGCTAGATCCACCCTGGTCTTGAGCTGTCGTGCAAGGCTTTTGTGGACAAATGATACCACCTGATTACAGCGGCGGCCACCATAGCCCCCGTCATTCGACGCAGCGGCGCCGTTGACTCAGTGTTGGCGGCGAGCCCTTCAGATGACGCGATTCGCTGTGACCAACACCGCGTCTGCGGTCTAAGCCTGGCGTTTCTGATGCTTTCAGCACACAGAACCGGCGCCGGTCGCCGACTGGCCGGCTGCCTGCCTTCTGTCGGGAAGGGCTGTGGAGTCGGCCACGGCACCGCTCGCGTGTGAATTCCGAACAGACTCCGCGGCCTGTTAGCCCTCCCGCGACACCACACAGACACCGCTGCCAGCCAGTCCTGCCTGAAAACCTGCCCTGCCTTATCTGTTTGATAATTCCCCGAAAAACTCCACGGTCTCCCAGCAGCCCCGATGCAGTGCACACGAACTTCCCAGTTGGCCGAGCTCTGACAAGGAACGCACAGATCGTCTTCCCGTCCTCCCCTCCGGCCAGGGGAAGCGGCGTCAGCCTGGCCCCGTCCTCCGCTCCGGTCAGGGGAGGTGGCGTCGGCCTGACCCGTCCTCCGCTCCGGCCACGGGAGGCGGCGTCAGCCTGACCCCGTCCTCCGCTCCGGCCAGGGAGGCGGCGTCAGCCTAGACCCGTCCTCCGCTCCGGCCAGGGGGGCGTCAGCTGACCCGTCCTCGCTCCGGCCAGGGAGGCGGCGTCAGCCTGACCCGTCCTCCGCTCCGCCAGGGAGGCGGCGTCAGCCTGGCTCTGTCGTCCTCCACTCCGGTCAGGGGAGGCGGCGTCAGCCTGACCCGTCCACACTTACGCAGAGCGGAGCAGGGGACGGGATCAGGCCACCTCTGACCAGAAGTTTTTACACTTTGTTCCCAGTTGGTCGCTTTGCCGCCATTCCAGGGATGGCTCAACGGGATGGTGGGTTGACTGCTGTCCTTCCGTTTCGTAGGATCCCACCGCATGATGCGAGCCTCGTGCCAGCATTGGTTGCAAACATTGTCGTCGGCAGCTGTTGCGCAACGACTGCAGTGGCAGACACTAAGCCCTTCCCCCGCCCCCTTCCATCCATCCAAGAGGTCTGCACCGGCTGAAGCCGCCCACCGCTGTCGGAAACGCACGGACGGCGCGCGGCGCGCTCCCGGCTGGGGATAGCAGGTGTTTGTCCACTACGCCGGGAGCCCGCCGTCGGTGTACGCCGGTGGGCCGGGGTCCGGGCCGGCCTGACCGCGGTGCGGTGCCAGGGGCACGCTGCCCCACGCAGCCGGCCCGCCCTTGTAGTCAGCCTGGTCCAGGGCAAGTTGGGAAACAGTCCGCCGCCGGCCGCCATGGACAACTGGTCCGACCATAGCTAGACTCGCCAGGACCAAAACGTTCCCACCGCGCAGCCACCCCTCACCCCGCTGAAATTCGCATATTTGTGTGAGGGCAGATGTTTGCATGTGTCTGGCTTTTAGGCGCAGTGGTCCCATGGGCGTATGATCTTCAAATCAGCGGGGATATCGGGCCCAGTCATGATTTTCACGTCATTTCCACCCTTGGCTCCGGGCCTCGCATTATTAATCCCAGGACAAGTGTCCGAACCGGGCCCCCGACCTCTCTCGTATCTGACCTAGAATCTCACTCCCTCATTCGAAACTCTCGATTGCGTGCATAAGCTTCCGCAGTACTTAAAGTTGCCAATGCGTTGCACGCCCCGTCCTGTCTGAGCTACCACAGCACTTTGCCCCGTGCGACACAGGACCTTGGAGCACTCGCATTTAGTGCCTCCGCATCACCGGACTATTCAACTGCCCCCGCTCCGAGCTGTTACACACCGTGTACCATGCCACTGACCAGTCACACTGCCGTACCACTGACATGTTATACGGTACCCCTACCCCTGACATGACACACTGGACCCGTACCGTTAACATGTCAGACTGTACCTCATACCGCTGACATGTCACACTGCACCCCGTACCGCTGGCATGTCACACCCCATATCTTTGACATGTCATACTGTACCTCATGCCAGGTGTCCCAGCCACACCGTTGAGCCATGACACTGAGACCAATACCAGTGAACCGTTACACTGAGAACCATACCAGTGACCCGTCGCACCAAGACACGTGCCAGTGACCTCTTACTGTAGCCCATCCACGAGCCTAATCATACTGAGACCCACGCCACTGACCCGTCACGCTCACACTGGCCGGACCAATGGGTTTTCACCGCCGTGCTGGCCACCACTGACCTGTCGCACTCGTGCTGGCCGTCAAAGCTGACCTCGCTGAAGGCGGGCAGCGCGTGGTCCATATCGGGTCCACGAACTGCCCCCCAACTGCATCAGCATGGCGCTGCACTCGGGTGTCCTCGGGTGATGACGTCGGTGGCTGCCAGCCGCGAGCTGACCAGGCGTGGGTTCGGCAGCAGGAAGCCGTTGTATCGGGAGTGATCGGTCGGCTCCTGGTGACCGGACGGCATGACGTCACGGACGCGGCGCCGGCAGCAGCCGACCGGTGGCGGTGAGCAGCCCCGCCCCGACTGCAGCGGCGCACCGCTGTACATTTATGAGCCGCACGACCAACGCAGCCGTACGAAGTATTACGTACGCGCTGCTGAGAGCGGTCCCTGGACGCGCCGGCACGGCTCGTTCACGGATACATGAGATCAACAACATGTGGCGCGCCCGGCCGCGTCGGCGGAGGGGGGGGCGGGGGGGGGGGGGGCTCTGGAGGTGTGGTGCCCGCCCGCGGTCGAGCGGATGTGGCACTAGTCTGTGGTAGAACACTGTCTTCATCCGGGCTTGTCGCTGTGGAGTTCTATGAAGTTTGTACGCGACGGCAATAACGGTCATCAAAGATAAAAGCACGCAAGCTTGGAACTACACATTTGGCGCTGACCGTCGTTTTACGAGGGACGACAATGGAGCTTGCATTCTGATCACAACACTAAAATGTCGTCAACATCGCCATCATGCGCGAACTCCGCAAGGGCGGCATTCGCAACGTCTTGCCAGTCGCCGATTCTCTCGCTAGAGTGGCGTACGCCTCATAAAATGTTCGAGATTCGTTGAAGCTCCCGAGGCGTGGTCCGAGGGTCGAGGTTCGAGGGTCATTCGTTGAAGCTCCCGAGGTCCGAGGGTCGCTCACCTCGGGGCGTATTGAAGCCGTTTTCATACTGGGCGGGCAGCAGGCGGCGGAAGCCGACCAGCGAGGCGCCCCACAGCGGCTGCTGCAGGTTGTTGGCAGGGTGCCGTCGGCGCTGCGGTAGCGGCTGTGGAAGCAGATGTTGCTGCAGTTGAGGCGGCGCCGGTGGGACGAGCAGGCCGGAGAGGTCGCGCAGCCGCTCCATCTGGCCCGGCGACAGCAGGTCCGAGTAAGAGTATGCTGCAACGACCCGGCCCCAGTCAGGCGGCGGCAGTGCGGCCGCGGCCGAATACACCCAAACAGGGCAGCAACAGGTCAAGCAGTTAGCGCACTCCGAACCCAGTACGAGACCGCCGTCCAAAACCCGCGAAACAAGTGAAGACCAACATCGAGAGGAACACGTGGTCCAAGTACACTCTCGGAGACGATGATAGGACCGCGAGCATGCAATAGCAGATCTAAAAAAAAACATCCGTTGCAAGATTGAACAACGCATTAACATGGGATGACAAGCGCTTTCCGATCACATTGGGGCCGGGACAGTTACTCCAATCACTGTTTCCGCATGCGGAACAGCTCCGAATGCAGCCCGGCTGGAGCAGGCTGCATGCCTGCCTGACCGAGCAGCGGGTGTCAGCTCACTCGTGAGGTTGAAACGGGATCCGGACTCCACCAGCCGCTTGACCAGCTCCAGGGCGCGCTCGAAGATCTCGCCAGCGCGCGCTTGGTCCAGCGCCTCGTCCGTGGGGAACCTGCGCCATTGCACGGCCAAGCCGGACGCCGGTGTCATGCGTGGCAAGAGCTGCGGCAGCAAACCTCACGCAGCGCAAACAGAGCCGCCGCTGCAGTGGACATACCGAGTCGGTCTTCATGACGCAGAGTATCCCACACACCTGTTGCAATGACGAGATTGAGCAAACCACCCATTCTAATGCACATACACAAGCGCATCGGTATAGAACAGAAGCGGCTGAAACGGCCTTTCGCTGTCCTGCAGAACGAGAAAACTGAGCTAGTAATTGTAAGCACCGCATAAAAGCTACCCACAGTTGTAATGACAGAGATACCGAGCGCCAAAGTTGTGACGAACACCCGAAACTGAACGTACGACAAAGAAGTGTCAACAACACGGGCAACTCTCTGCTCTAAGAGGATAGTTCCCGACGCTCACTATCACAGGTTTCTATGCCTTTTGGCTGCATCAGATCACGGCCGGCCGGAGTGCCGGCCGGGGAGAGTCCAGGGTCAAGTCGGGAGTCGATCGATGCGCCAGATCTGCACCTGAAGATCTGCAGCAAGCTCGTGCGGCGTGCGGCGATGGTGGCGCGGCTGTGAGAACAGCTGACGCAGGGTACGGTTCAGCGCGATCTCGACATCGCGCGTCGCTTCTGCCGCGCTCTGGCTGACGAACTGGTCTCCGGGACGGCGGGACGACGTCTGGCGACGGCAGCACGTCAGCGGCGTGACCGAGCAGCCACTACAATCACGCTCTTCGACGGGCCTCGGGTCGGCACTGCCCCCAGCACTGCCCCCAGCACTGCCCCCAGCACTGCCCCCAGCACTGCCCCCAGCACTGACACCGCACAGTCGCACCGAAGGACGGACGCTGAGAGGCAGCCTTGTCCGAAATCACCAACACAGCGAGCCGGCCAGCTGTGGTCTGATGCCCCGTGATGAGCGTGCAGTGCGGACCGTGATCACTGACCTGGGCCAGCGGCGACGGCCAGGTGTGTGGTAGCCACAGCGGTGGCCCACGCCGTTGGCGACGTTGCACTCGTAAATGCCGCCGTCCTGGGCGGTCAGGGTCCTCAGGGTCAAGGCTCCGTCCGTCGTGGCACTTGCCGGACACAGGCCTCGCCGTCAGGACAACCGCTACTGGAGACTGACAGCACTACAGTGCCAGCCAAACTCTTCGGGAAAACTGAAACATTTGTCACAAGAATGTAACGCGACGCAGCACGACCAGATCATTTTAGTCTGTGAATGCGAGGTGGGTTGTAACTTTCATGCTTGGCCATCGGTCGTTGGACGGCTGATTGTTAATGAAATCGCCTGTCCTTCCCTACCACCTGTAATGAACAATCTTGCTAGATACACGAATAAACCAGGTGCCGGCCGGTACCCAGGGGAGCGGCTCTCAGCTGGTGGCGCGTCATCATCCCTGACCTGTGACCCATCCCTGACCTGTGACCATCGCTGACCTTTGATCCAAGCCCTGACCTGTGGCTCAGCCTTGACCGTGACCAAGCCCTGACTTGTGACCCATCCACCAGCCTGCGACCCAGCCCTGACCTGTGACTCAGCCTTGACCCTGACCAAGCCCTGACTTGTGACCCATCCACCAGCCTGCGACCCAGCCCGACCTGTGACGGATCCGTCGGCGAACAGGTTGCCGCCGACCCTTCTCCAGGTGATCTCCGGCAGCGGCGAGCCGGAGGCGCGGCACGTCAGTGCGATACTTTCGCCGAGGGCGGCCCGGTCAGGGTCATGGGCGGTCGCTCGGTCAGCACCGGGACCCGCCTGGAGCGCCGGGTCAGGTCACACAGGCGGAACAGCAGAGGGGCTGTCGGCCAATGCCCCCGAAGTCAGGACCCGCCGGAAGGGCGGGAGCGGACAGCCCACGATCCCGACGCACCTGAGCCGCGCCATCCCACCCAGCCCTGGGGAGGGCCGGCAGTCTCAGGCAGTTTTAGACAGGTTGGGAATCGGGGCAGTCTTGAGGCCACGCAACGGACCGGCAGGAGGGTGGTGGGGTGACTCGAGGCAGTGCGAGGGCCTGACTGACGAGCCGACGCAGATTTGCAGTATGATGGAGGGAGAGGGTACACTGACAATTTTACGTGCCATCCCCCCCCCCCACACCCTCCCTATGACCTTCCCCACTGGAAACACTCACATGGCCGCTGACATCGAGTTTCGGCCTCCTCCCTGGCTACGGCCGCCTCGTTCCTGGCCTCACACGTGTACGTGCCCCGCGTCGTGGTGCTGCAAGTTGGAGATTCGCAGCACCCGCCTGGAACGCGAGACGGGGCGGAGCTTCAGTACTCGCAGAGGACTCAGCTGAGCAGCGGACTCAGCTGAGCGTACGACCGGCCGTCGCCGCTGGCGTGGTGCTCGGAGTATCCAGTGGCGCTGCGGCACTGGCAGAGTGGAGCGGTGACGTTCGCTGCCCTAAGCCAGCGGCACTGCGGCACTGGCAGAGTGGAGCGGTGACGTTCGCTGCCCTAAGCCAGCGGCACTGCGGCACTGGTAAAGTGGAGCGGTGGACGTTCGCTGCCCTAATCCAGCGGTACTTGCGGCACTGGTAAAGTGGAGCGGTGACGTTCGCTGCCCTAATCCAGCGGCACTGCGGCACTGACAAAGTAGGGCGGCGGCGTTCGCTGCCCTGAGACAGGGAGCTGCGCAGGACTGGCAACTGCGCAGGGAGCTGCGCGAACTCGTGCCGCAGGTTGCGGAGACCAAACAATTGACCGGCAGTTGCAGTTGCCGGACAGAGGACAGAGAAGGGGCAATACACAGCGGTTTGGCTCAGCTGCCAGACGACGGCGAAGTTACCGTTCTCAAAACTACCTGTCACATCGCACCGGCTGCTGGCGACATGATAGCAAGCTCATGATACAATGACATGACCACATGACTACATGACCACATGACCACATGACCACATGACCACATGATAGCACGCTCATGATATAATGACATGACTACATGATAGCACGCTCATGATAAAATGACCACATGAAAGCACGCTCATGATACAATAGCATGACTACATGAAAGCGCGCTCATGATACGATGACATGACCACATGATAGCACGCTCAGGATGCAATGACATGACCGCATGATAACGATATGGTCGACGCATGGCCACGCTTGAAATGAAAAGAAACAACGTCATGCTTGAAACTTTCGCCGGCGCCTGATCACCTCGCACCACTACTGAGTGCTGGACGCGTACCCAGCGCCCACCTTACCTCCGGCCAGCACAGCCACGCGCGAGCTGTGCCGGATGCGGCGACCGTTGTGTAGCCAGCTGACCTCGGGCGTCGGGTAGCCGACGGCGCCGCAGGTCAGGTCGACGTTGGCTCCGGCCGGCCTCAGCTGGTCCTGCGGCGGCGCCGTGATGCGGGGGCGCGCTGCCGGCGGCGCCACCGGCCGGTCAGACACCACACTGGCGCACGCTGGGCCGGCCACGCTCTAGACCCGGGAGGTCTCAGGAGGTCCAAGGCTGAGCACGGACGCTCTGCGCACTGCTAGTGGCGTGGCACCGGGACAAGGCTCATCACACGCCACGTGAACAGTGGGAGGACGCTGGTGACGGAGCCGCTCTCTGGACCCTCAGGGCGGGTACAAGACACCCTGGACGGAGCCGCTCACTGAACCCTCGGGGCGGGTACAAGACACCCTGGACGGAGCCGCTCACTTGACCCTCGGGGCGGGTACAAGACACCCTGGACGGAGCTAAAGGCCCGACCACAAATCGCTGGGTAGCTAGCTGATGGACGCGTATCTGTGGATACGCAAGTGACGTTCAGCGCTCATGCGACATGCATTGCAATCTCACGGAGCCATCTAGTCGCGCCAGACACCGGGATACCAACGACAGGGAATCGGCTGACACAAGATGGAACGTGCACACTTTGGTGGGTCTGTGAGGAAGCAGAAGGCGAGCAGAGGCTGCTAAACCGCACGTTCGTCTCGGAGGACATCGACGCCTGGTATTGAGACGCTGATGTTGTCACGCGGACGTTTGTTGCGGTAACACCTATCCCTCAACTCCTCATTCCAGACAAAAGCGCACGGTGCCCTACCGTGGAGCGGCCGTGAACTCACTCTGCAGCACCAGCTGCGCGGGCGACGACACGCGCCCCAGCCGGTTGGACGCCGAGCAGAGGTACTCGCCGGCGTCTTGCGGCTGCACGTTGATGATAGTCAGGTTGGCTTCGCGCGCCGCGAACCGCAGCTGTCGGCGGGCAGGGTGGTGTGTTGGACCGAGCCGCCGTGGGAGCATCTCAGCTCCAGCCCTGGGGCTGGGCTTGCTGGCGAAGACGGGCGGCGAAACAGAGCGACGGAGGAGAGCAGGAGGGGGCTGTTTGCCGGCTGGAGTGAGGCGTGCTGGTGGGCTTCTCTGTGTTATCTGCTCCCAATGAGCGTGCAATTATGTATCGGTTCATAGTCAGTGAGGTCCTCCTGATGTGGTTACTCGGATACGGAGGTCTCTAAACTATTTCCGCGACTTTTGCAGTGAAACTCAGACATGCCCTACTTTTAAGCAAAGCGTTTTAAATATTTGACGAAAATGATATCCGTGTTCATCACTCTTCGACCTCTGACGCCCAAATGCATGCCGCGCTCCAGCCCCACTCGGCTGAGCACAAACAACCGCGCAACTGAGCACGCCTAGCCTCGATCCCTCGTGAAGCCGGGTTTGTGCAGCGCCGGCCGCAGCGGCAGCAGGGTCGCCAGCCCGGCTCACCCGGTAGCGAGGCGTCTGGGTGGTGATGGCGTTGCCGCCTCTCAGCCAGAGCAGCTCCGGCGTCGGGTAGCCGTCGACCACGCACACCAGCTCGGCCACGTCACCCACGCCCACGTGCACGTCCTGCGGGGCACGCACAAACCGCGGCCGACCTGCCGGGCAGAACTCGCTCAGCACCGACCACCAGTGTCAGGCGCGGGAACCCTGCCCGCGCCACGGGGAGCTCACACGCAGCGGCGGCGTGTCATCAGCTGATGAGCCGACGCGGCGCGCCTGCCGCACACTGTCAGGGATCAGCGGCTGTGAGCCGAGAGTTGACTCTGACTGCTGATCTAGCCGCGGGGGTCACCTCAGGGGATCTCAGCGGTGGTGACCAGCTGTGACGCGTCGCGCCTGCCGCACACTGTCAGGGATCAGCAGCTGTGAGCCGGGAGTTGACCCTGACTGCTGATCTAGCCGCGGTGGTCACCCCAGGGGATTTCAGCAGCGGTGACAAGCTGTGACGCGGCGAACGGCCCGCGGCGACAGCCGTGTTGGAACTCACAGCGATCACTCCAGGACAAAGGCATGCGTCCCACCAGGCGCGCCGCTCGTCTCACGCCTCACGGTCTTACGTCGTCGGCCCCAGCCATGGTCACCGTCAGCGGTGAGATCCCCGCCTCCCTTCCTGTCAGCCGCCAGTGGCTGATACCTGCATCGGCGATGTGTGAGTGGTGTTAGGGCCGTGTCGGACCTTGCTGTCTCGCGAGGACTGTGGCGGACCCACCGTCCTCTGCTCGTGCTCACTGTGTGTGGCCAGGTTGTCCTCCCTGGTGCGGCCCGGCAGCTGGAACGGCCGCCGCTGGGTCGTCAGTCGGTTGTCCTCGCGGTTCCTGCTGTCGAGCACGCGGCTCCGCCGGTCGTAGTAGCTCTGGCGCTCGCGCCGCGCCGGCCGCTCCTCCTCCTCCTCCTTGGCGAGCTCCTCCTCGCGACTCCTGGGGACGGCGGGCGGCGGGGGTGGTGGGAGCGGCGCCTCCTCGGGCGCTCCCGGGTGCGGCATCCCGTCGTCCTGCTGCGGCGAGGAGGGCACGTAACGCACCGTCACCGGCCGCGACTTCACCTGCCCCATTTGGTTTTTGGCCATGCACTCAAACACGGCGTCCGGGTCGCTGGACGGCTCCACCATCAGCGTGCCATCCTCCAGGATCTGGTAGCCGGCCTCCATATTCTCCGGGTCGAGCTCGTTCCTGAAACGGCCATCAGCTGTGAGTGGCGAGCCACGGACACCATCTCTCCGTAGGTGGCCTGACGCGGGGAATGGATCGGCGATAACCAACCATGCAGGACGAAAAACCGATCGGTTTTGCTTTGAACGCGACGTGGACAAGCTGTCTACCTAGAGCTAGCCACCATCCTCTCGGCCAACCGCAGAGGCCCTCCTAACCACCACTTACACAGTTTGCACTACCCACGAGCAAAAATAATCGTCCGTGGCAGCTCACATTGTCAAAAGCAAGCACGCACAGGCGTGCCTGCCTAGGATTACTGCGTGCCTCTCTCACAACTGCAAACTAGCGTTGTGCGGAACTAACGAAATCAACGCCGCTTCATAAGCTTTCAAAGGAATAAAATCGCGAGTTCACCAATTCCACCCCGCTTTCATTGGTACAGTTGCAGCGTCCATGAAGCTCATTACGTTAACAACATTCTATCGCGGCGCCGCATTTCAAGGCGTATGCCACCAGTCCGTCCAAATAAGGCATTGATATCGGACCCAGTCGAGTGGCACCTGACGTCACAGAAATAACTAGCCGCGCCGACGTCAACAGCGCCGTTGGCAATTGTTCACCCGAAGAGCGCCAGATCACGAACTCAGCGCCGGACAGCAGCACAAGTTGCGCCACACACCGCGCAGTCGGGCTAATCCTCCGGCGCGAAGTGATGTGTTTACAAGTCAGCCGACAGGGGGCGCTTGCCGTCAGCACCCGGCAGCTGTTGTTCAGCTCGTGGCGGGTTCGCAAATCGTCCGACAGGCGGCGCTAGCCGGGGCCGCCGTACCTGTTGTGCAGCCAGACGATGTCGGGCTGCGGCTCGCCATCCGCCTCGCAGTGGAAGTAAGCTGTCTTGCCGAACGTGATGACTACGTTGCGTGGCTGCTCTGTGAGCTGGGGCGCCGCTGGAGCATAGGAGAGCGCGCCTCAGGAGGCGGCCCTGGTGAGACCCCCGTCGCCCGACTCCCGGGGGCGTACCAGGGACTGTGTGTCAGCTGTCTGGTGTCGGCTCGAGTGGCCCAGTCCCAACGCAGGTGTCATGCATGGGTCAGCACGGAGAGACAGTTGGCAGAAGCGTAGTGGACGCGAGAGGTCATATCCCTGGAGGCGAGACGGAGGATGTAGCAGCGAACGAACGCCACACAATTAGTACACGACCCGACCCATCTCGTGTGAAGATGCAGCTGCGTCGATAAAGACAAGGTCACGGGTTCAGCCCCTACTGAGACCGACCTCGGTGACCCACGCCCTCTGCACGACGACAGCCAGCCTTGCACGCTTCACCGCAGCGAGTTTTTAGCTCAGCCAACCGCGTGACACGATCCGGTACAGCTCGGGGCCGGCGGGGCGGGCGCAGCGTGGAGCGGCCGCCTCGCGCCCTTGCAAAAGTCTCACACTAACCCCGCGGGATTGTGGAAGAGAGATAAAACTGCGTTCGTGCAGTCCTTCCAAGCCCTCCCCGGGGTACACTGCTGTCGGCGTCGGTCCACCCCCAGGACCCTGTAAGCCTGCGCTGGACCCCGTGCCAATGCAGGGGATGCGCTGTAGGACACAACACTAGGCTACGCGAGCATTGTCCTCTACATCTTCCAATTGTTAACACTATCAAATAGGCACAATACCCAGTCCAACGTAGACACTCACTTCATCACCACGCCCGGTGCCAGAACTTAGAATTTCCATAACATATTGTGGTACAAATGTCATTTTTGGGCCATTCATTCCATGCAACGTCAAATCCCTGGTGATAAGTTGCTGAAATGTTGTGCAGGCAGCCGCACTCCTACTCAGCGGCAACGCTCAACTCACGCCTGGTGCACACCGAGTTTCTGAGACAAACCAGGTACGGACCCGACACCCTGACCACGACAACGCCGACAACACTGCCCATTTCACACCTCGTTTAAAGAAATCCATTCATGATCATCACGCCACGATAACTTTGCCAACATGTGCACGGCTCAACCGCACGTGATACCATTCAAACCAACGGGCGTGCGCTCGGATCGCTTACAGCACCGCAACATTTGATCCTCGATGTCGGCTATACTGCGGCCGTTTAGTTCGGCCGGCTCCTGACAGGTGGCACTGGCTACCGACCGCGACGCGTGCTCCTTCAGCATGTGCGCCAGCCACAGCATGCGGCAGTCGCAGATCAGAGCGTTGCTGTCTAGCCGTCTGAAACGACGAGAAGCCGCACTTGTAATCGAAACGTGTATGCCATGCAAGAGCACGTGTCTGTCGAGGTCAGCGTTAAACAACTCTAATCACCAGACTCTTGTTCCGCCCATGCGCTGTTCTGCCTGCCAGATCTTAGCAGTCATCTCCTGTCAACCACTGGAACCGTCCGGTCGGCCCGTCCGGCCGACACCGGCCGCCGGAGACGGCCGACGCCCATCCTGAACCGCGGTGGGGGCGAGGCGGCGGCGAGCCGGGCTCCTCGGCCGCCGGACGGCCCGCCGCACGGTGGCGCCACACGAGTCGCGCGTAAGGAAAGCAAAATAAACGCGTTCGGCGGGGCGGCGCCGGGGTTTATTTGGCCGGAGCGACGCGCCCGTCGACCCATCAGGTGGTCGCGGTTTGTATGGGCTTCCGGGCGTTTCCGACAGGTCAGAACACGGGGCTGATGGGAGACCCTGGTCAGTGACAGACGGAGAGACATTGGCGGTGACAGAGGACTGTCACACCCTAAACGATGTGGGAGGGGTGGAGGAAGGGAGATCCCGGCAACCAGTGAAGGAGAGAAAAGGAGAGCGAGGAGCTGGCCTTGGCTGATCATAAGGAGGAATATCCTGACTATCGGAGTGTCGGATACTCACAGTCGCTTCAGGGAGGTCAGGTTGCTGAATGCGCCGTAGGGTATCCGCTGCAGCTTGTTGTTGTGCAGGAACCTGGAGCAGTAGAGGGCGCGTCAGACCACTCGTCCGAGCCCCGCTGAAGACCGCTGCCTGCCCAAGAGAGGCCCCAAAGGCCGCCCGAGAGAGGAGCTCCAGAGGCTACCCAGGAGAGGCCCCAGAGGCTGCTCGGGAGAGAGGTCCCAGTGGCTACCCGGGAGAGGCCCGACTGGTTGCCCGGGAGAGAGGCTCCAGTGGCTGCCCGAGAGGGGCCCAAGTGGCTGCCCAGAAGCGAGGGACCATTGGCTGCCGGGGAGAAAGATCTCAGTGGCTGCCTGGGAGAGAGGTTCCTGTGGCTGCCCAGGGAAAGGGAGCCAGAGGCTACCCGGGAGAGGTCCCACCTTCTGCCCGGGAGACAAGCCCCAGTGACACTTCGACAGTCGGCTGGTAGCTAACGTCTCAATAGTCCTGGGCCAGCCGCCCCGCCGCTGGCCGGTAGCTGCGGCCTCGCGCCGCCTTCAAAGGACTGCCGGCGCGAAGCCGTGCTCCGGATCGGCGACTGAGTGGAACAACAGGCCCCCGGCCGCAGGACAGGGTAACTGAGCGGCGCTGCGGCCCGGCTGGCGGCCGCCGCGGGGTGGCGCTGCGGAGATGTCCCGCCGGCATTGTACGCCAATCACTCGGCTAGACAACCCGCACTATTGTGTGGCGTGGACACAGCGGCGAGCAAAGTGGCGGCCATCTAAGTGATGCGTTATTACACATCGCACCAGCGACGCTCAGACGACCCAGTTCATCAGCCACCCTTTCCGAGACCTGAGGTGTTGGGCGGACATCTGACGCGCGCACGCGCCGGCACGCCCCCGCACCGCTGTGCCACATACTCACAGGCGCTCGATGGACGGTAGGTTGCTGAACGTTTCCGCGCTGACATCCTCAATGTAATTGTAATGCAGGTACCTGGGAAAACGGTTCATCCATAATTCAGAGCGGGGCGGGCGGCGCCTGGGTGCGCGTCGGCGGTGCGCTGGCGGGTCGGGCCGGGCCGGGACGGGCCGCTCCCTCCCAGAGGACACCGGCCCCAGTGTGACAAATACGGACCGGTCGGGCGCGCCGACCCGGCGTCCGGACGCCGCATCGGTCAGCGTCGCGCGCCGCCCTGGGGTCGGCGTCTGGCGGCGGACAGCCGACCGGCGGGAGGTCGGCAGACGCCGGCGGGCGGCGGCCGGCGGGCGCCGGCCCGGCTCTGACGGCTGACGGCAGCGACGCCGGCGACCGGTCGCACGGGTGCAGCGGCCGTCACAGAGCCGCCGATAAGTTCGTGCTCTCCGACTGGGGTGCGATGCACGCTCATCACGTGTGCGTACTCTGCGTGGGGGCCAGCGCGGTGGCCAGACATCGCCGAAAATGAAAGCCCTGTCATCTGAATTGCGTCGCAACGCCTGCTGGAAGTCGTGCTGGGACTCCGGACGTTCTTTCACTGCCAGCATTGCCAAATATGCACAGGACAATGCGCTGCACATCAGCAGCGGTCACAGGGGAGGACAAACCGCGGACATACCCGCGCGTGAGCATGTCCCGGGAAGATAGATGTTTCGCCGGCGCCTCTGACGGCAGGCCGGCGTAGTACCGGACTAGCGGCGCTCAGACATGCAACAGCCATACATGGCCGGAGCAGGGCTAATCGGATCGCCCAGGGCAGCCAAAGCGTCGGCCGGGAGTCCGATCGCAGTGCCAGCCTGAACGGAGCGCCGGCGAGCGGCGCTGGGTTGGCAGCGTGCACGGCTGCACATGCTGCCAGCACGTGCCGCCGCCCCGGCGCCGCGCGAGAACACCTGCCCGGACAGGCGCGGCGGCTACGCTTGATCTGACCGGGCGCTGCCGCCGACTGACACTAGCACACGAGACCGCACGCCGCCAGCCTACGTCGGCCGGGACGGGAGCGGCCGCCGCACTGAAGCGGCCGGCGGGCAGCTCCGAGACGGCCTACCGGCCACTCCGAGGCCCTGAGACGGCCGGCGGGCCGCTCCGAGACGGCCGGCCGGTCGCTCCGAGGCCCTGAGACAGCCGACTGGCCGCTCCGAGGCCCCGAAACGGTCGGTGGACCGATCCGAGGCTCTAGGACGGCCGGCAGGGTCAGCTGGTACGGCGCACGCCCGCGGCGGTGGTGACGAGGGGACATCACTGACTTCTGAGCCAGGTCTCAGTGAGCGCCCGGAGGACTCTGGGAGGGGAGGAGGAAGAGAGCAGGCATTGTCTTTAAGATATGGACAAGGCCATACAGCACACCTCAATTACATTGAGGCCTCAGACCTCAATTACATTACAATTACAGTGAAATATATTGTACACCTCAAAACAGTCGCTGCACAATCGAGTACAATCGAGTCGGAGCTTCACAGTCTCACGACGTTAAGCTAAAGCTGAACGATTTAGCGGTCACTGAAAATACAAGTGATTATAAAAAAGGCCAAATACATTGCAATAATTTCTGAGCGCACAACTATTCATCCACACTTCATGTTCCATGTTTCATAAGCCCTGGGCTACGCCGACGGAGAAAGCATACTCACAGTTGTTCTAGCTTCGGCATATCGTGGAAAGCCTCGCTATCAATGTGGCGTATCCTATTTTTGTACATATATCTGAGAACAAATGCACCAGAACGTCAGCACGAGTTGTTGCCTAAAACGCCAGTAGCCATGCAAGCGGGTCCATCTTGTGAAACAAAACAGCAATAGGTATATGTCGAAGATGAGTCGAAAGATACCACGCAAATGCCATCTAACAACAGATACCAAAGCCTATATAACCACACATAGCATCACAGCAAACACTACAGCCATCATTACTGAAAGCTTAGAGCCGCGCAAAAGCAAGATTCAATAACATATGCCGTCACTGTGAAGGAAAACACACCATCACTCTTTTAGCACCGTTGCTCTCATGTCGCTTAAGCAGGTATCACGTTGCGTATTGGAGGTGTCCTCTTCAAGTGATGGCCCTCGTTTAGAGGAGCCGTCGGATGCCGGCCATTTGAATTACATATGACCTCGTGAGGTGCAGCAGGCAGATGCCGGTTGTTTTATTCCGACTGCATTGATTTTATACGGCAGGCGCCCGTTAATATTTCAATCCCGAGAGACCATATCAGGTAAGTTATGCGCCTCCAGTTGTTTGGGATCACAAATGACCTTGCAGGCATAGGGAAGGTGAGGCGTGGTGATTCAGCCGTTTGTCTCTGAATGACATCATCTGGTGAGACAGGCACGTCTGTCACAGCTGATACCAACGCTAAAATTGGAACCAATAGCTCTGCTGGATCCCAAATAACCGTATTTGGCAATGACGTCCTTTGACAACCACCGGATATCAAATGCCTGCATTTGGTAAGGTGAGCGTTTGCTCGCTGATAGATGCTGAGGACCGGTATACGGCGTGCGCCCGCTGATAGAGTCGAGGGCCGGTATACAGCGTGCGCTCGCTGATAGATGTCGAGGGCCGGTATACAGCGTGCGCTCGCTGATAGATGTCGAGGGCATGTATACGGCGCGCGCTATGCAAGCACGGGCTAAGCCGGGCAGGCTAGGTGTCGTGTTCGTCTTAAAGAGTACCTAACATGAAATTGACCTAGGACATGACAGCTCGTCGCAACTTCATCTGGATCGTCCTCTGACAATGGAGCGGTAGTTTGATTTGGTAGCTCTTGCGTTGGCGGGTACGTGGGGTGGGGTGGGGGTGCTTGCCTCTATTTTGGGGGGAATATTATGTAAGATAGATAAGGAAGAAATTGAATCGTCAAGAGTGGCCATGAAAAGGCGAGTGATAGTGATATTGGTGAAGCGTTTGGCTGTACTCCACAGAAAATTCATAGCTTTATCAATTAACATTCAAAATGAGAGAAAATAATCATAAATGAAATGGGAATGGTAAAGTTAAAAAGCTTTCCCGTCAGGCTACACATCAAACGCTCCGTCAGCACACATGACGTCATGCGCTCCAGTCCGCACTCGTGCTGAGAACAGATCGAACAGGGCCTGGGACAGAGCCTCGTGCTGCATTTAGACTGCTTGGCCAGGGACGGGGACGAAATCGGCGGCTTTTGCTAAGCCGCGTCGTACATGATCAAAATAAATGTTGAGAAGCGCAAACCTTTATCAACAGCAAACAATGAGAACATGACAAGATTTCAGACTGGAATCCAACAAAAAATGATCAAATCATCTAATGTTAAGAGGGATGACGTCTATGCCGACCAACGTTTTGGCCAGCACCAAATACCAGGCATCGGAGCAAAAGCCTGTTTTAGAGCATCGCCCCATTTGGTGCTGAGAAGTTCATCGACCTGACAAAGGTGATTCCAACGGAGCAGCACGAGGTGCCGTCACACAACACAAAAGCGCGCCGTCTGCCAGCGTCGCCCGTCTCTCCAGCACAGGCTCCAGCTGTGCCGCCCGATAAGCCCGGCTCAGTCGCCCGCGCCGCACTCGATTCCTTTGTTTAGTCATACGTCCCGACGTGAACAAACAATGGCGGTCAATGTGACTGGCAGACGGCTCACGGCGCTGGTGCGACACACGCACGCACACCAAAAACGGCCCGGTCACCACAGCTGTATGGCGGGCCTCCCCGCGGTCCGGGCGGGCCTCCCCCGAAAACTGCGAGCACAATGTGCAGCCCCGGACGTTTACGCACACCCCGACACCGACCTCCGCGTGCAGGAGCGGAGAGAGAGTGCCCACCTCGTGCGTGAGAGCGTGTGCTGAGAGGATGAACTGCGTGTTGGTATAGTGAGCTGCATGGACGGCCGATCTCATATTCTCAAAGCGCACGCGGAATAATACAATCGCACTTTCATGTGATTTGGGCACTGTCGTAAAACCCCATCGTGCATTTAAATCAAAATGGCGGTGGCGCATCATTCATCCCACTGTCTGCCGCTAACTGCCGCCGGGGGATGACTACCGTTTGCAGTAATGGTCAATCTGTGCCCGAAAGACCATACAATGAATCATTGGGCAGGATTAGGACGGGCGGCTCTGCAGCGCCGGCGGGTCGCGGTCGGGAGTCGTCGGCAGGCCTCCTCGGCGCCGCCGCAGTCCGCAGTCAGCCGCGGCCGCCCGGCAACAGTCGCCCGCCGTACTCACAGATAGCGCAGGTCGTCCAGCCCCGCGAACGTGCCCTTGTTCAGCTGGCCGATCTTGTTGTTGTTGAGGAGTCTGGCGGCGGACCGGGCAGCACGTGAGGGCGGCAGGGCACGCGCGGAGCCGCGGGAGAGGGCGGTCGCCGCTGCTGACGCTGGGTGAGGCCGGGCAGCGCAGTCCGGCCCCGCCCAGAGCAGGCTACGCGTGCAGCGCCGGCGCCGGCGCGCGAGAGAGGGTGGCCGCGGCGACAACACAGGGTAGCGTCTCGGAGGCGGGGTAGCGCGACCTGGCGCCCGGGCCGGATGCCAAACCCGGCGCCAACCATCAATGATGACGACCTACGGACAGAGCACGGGGTCACAATCCCAGGGATGAGCTCCTCGCTTGAAGCCGGTCGACTCACAGTGTGTTGAGGTTGCGCATGCGCAGAAAGCTGCCCGGTGGCAGGTGCTCGATCTCGTTGAACCTGAGATCCCTGGAAGAGAGGAGATGTCTGTCAAATATCTAGTTGTTTTTCACGCGAGGTGAGGATTAGCGTGACGGACCAACCAGGAGTTGCATGCATCACGAACAAGTACTGGACATATCTGGGTTGACCGGCCAGCGTGTTGCGGATCATACTGACCAATAACGATTGCTCGCCTCACTCGTTCCCCGAACGGCCCTGGTCATGGCTGACCTGCTCAAAGCCTTCATCGGGGTTACCTGTGCAGAAACGTACTTCGAGGCAAAATGCTCTGTGTTCAACATCCTACGATGTAAGGACGTTGGAGCTCGCAGAAGCTGCGGGGAGGTTATGACTCGCTCCTCCCGTTTTCCTTCTACTTCTGAACCTCTCCCCAGCCCTTCGAGCCTGTAGCCACCCTTCACTTTGCTTTCCTTGTCTCACTGCGTAATAATAGCCTGGGGAACGCCTGCTCCTGCGTGAGAAAGGCAGGCATTCTCAAACGCGAATGCTTGAAATGTTGAACGGAACGTAAGCCCATTTAGCCGTTGCTTTGGGGACCAGTGAATCAAGATGTTGACAGGAGCATCGATCTTCCTTTCATGAGGTCGATAAACAGATGTACACTGATATCTAGTGTTCGTGCATATGTCTGCAAAGAATAACACTTAAAAATCGTCTCGCATTGGGCCTGACAAGACCGGGAAAATTTAATACATGACATCGAGGCATTCAAAATGGGTTACAATCTCGATTAAACTGTGACCAAAGCATAGCGCAAAACGAAAAATGGATGGGTATTGTTTCAATAAACTGGGCTGCTGTCTCTGCTGCAGATCTCATGGCCCCCAATCTATGTTGGTTAAGGTCACAGCAGGATGCACTAACAGCGGCTTTCGAAGACCGTGGCATGGACTACTGCTTGGTCGATTGCCGACACACTTTTGGATCAGATCTAGTGATAGGCAGCTCGAAACTTGGCGGGCAATACCTAACGCATTTTTTGCCCAAGTCGCTATGTTTGAGAACTACCTGCAACGGTTTGGAATGTACCCACAACAAAAACACCGTGGGTCAATATGACCCCAACATGAGAACAGAGTTAAGGTGAGGCTTCCAGAATGCATATCATGACGGACGGGTGCAACTGCATGCTTGAACACGACATAGTGCCGACGCGTCCTCGGCATAGGCCACCACTCATAGGCAATGTGACTTGTCTAGTCAAACGTCGACACAAGATGAAGGAAGTTAAAGCCTAGTCTACTGGAAATTTCAAAGTCAAGCGCTTACAAGTTTAGCAACTTTTCTAGAGAAAGTCTAATGGAGATTCTGAGGTCTCTCGCCCGACGGAGGTTGAAAACACGCTGGTACACTAGCCTCCCACCCCCCCTCTCTCTCTCTCTCTCTCTCTCTCTCTCTCTCTTCTTCTCTCTCTCTCTCTCTCTCCTCTCTCTCTCTCTCTCTCTCTCTCTCTCTCTCTCTCTCTCTCTCTCTCTCCTCTCTCGCTCATCTCTCTCTCTCTCTCTCTCTCTCTCTCTTCTCTCTCTCTCTCTCTTCTCTCTCTCTCTCTCTCTCTCTCTCTCTCTCTCTCTCTCTCTCTCTCTCTCTCTCTCTCTCTCTCTCTCTCTCTCTCTCTCTCTCTCTCTCTCTCTCTCTCTCTCTCTCTCTTCCGAAACCTCTATGGTGACCAGCCAGACAGCATAAGATTAAACATACACGGCATATTTAGTTATTTATTGTTTTGACATTAGCTACCACTCCACACAAATAAGTGGTTACACACCATGGCGTGGACTTCCAACCCGCCGTTGCGAACAGGCCCGATTTCAAATATTCGCCATCATATTTGAATATCGTTTAAAGATGTGTAGGGGTGAAAACAACGGTTTCGTTGTAAGCTTGTGATGCGGCAAATGCCATCCACATGATGCAAGGCTGTCCGCAGTCTGGCATTACTGGTACGCCAAGATTACCGCACGGTATAACCTATTGCCCAGGCAGTCAAGCTGATTTATGGAAGTCAATTGCTCTCTTTCACGAGGGCTCATGGTATGAATCTATCTCTGGCCACCTGCACAAAGAGATGCATGGTTACTAGGTAGCCAGGTGCTCAGCCAGGCGTTGATAAAGGTGCAAGAGAAGCCTGCAATCAAGTAGTCATGTCGTTCCACGTGGCTCGAGAAATATATTGAGGTGACCTTAAAGCTAGCATACGTCACAAGTTAAAATCATTCATATTATGTCTGTTGCATACAAAGCATACCTTAAAATATACGGGGAGAGGGGAGCGAGCTCCCTCTCATCCCCGCTACGCCTTGTTACGGCTCTGCGCCGGCGCCGGCAGAGATGGAGGCTGTCTCCTCTCATCCCCGCTACGCCTTGTTACGGCTCTGCGCCGGCGCCGGTAGAGATGGAGGCTGTCTCCTCTCATCCCCGCTACGCCTTGTTACGGCTCTGCGCCGGCTCCGGTAGAGATGGAGGCTGTCTCCTCTCATCCCCGCTACGCCTTGTTACGGCTCTGCGCCGGCGCCGGTAGAGATGGAGGCTGTCTCCCGGGGCGACCGCTGCCCTCGCCGCCAGCGGCCGCCCGGGGACACCGTTGGAGTGGCACGGCCGCCGCCGCGGCGCCTGATAACGAGCTCGTTACGCCCCATCCGGCTTAATCAGCGGCCGTAAACCGTGCCTGACCACCGCCGGGCACAATGGCTCAGACCGTGACCCCTACGTCTCCGCACTCTGTGGCATCTGACCACCGCCGGCACACCGGCTCAGACCGTGCCCCCTCCGCCTCCGCACTCGCTGGCATCTGACCACCGCCGGTCCACCGGCCCAGACCGTGACGCCTCCGCCTCCGCACTCGCTGGCACCTGACCACCGCCGGCACACCGGCTCAGACCGTGACGCCTCCGCCTCCGCACTCGCTGGCATCTGACCACCGTCGGCACACCGGCAAAGACCGTGCCCCCTCCTCCTCCACACTCGCTGGCACCTGACCGCTGCCGGCATACCGGCCCAGACCGTGCCCCCTCCGCCTCCGCACTCGCTGGCACCTGACCACCGCCGGCACACCGGCCCAGACCGTGCCCCCTCCGCCTCCGCACTCGCTGGCATCTGACCACCGCCGGGCACACCGGCCCAGACCGTGCCCCCTCCGCCTCAGCACTCGCTGGCATCTGACCACCGCCGGCACACCGGCCCAGACCGTGCCCCATCCGTCTCCGCACTCTGTGGCATCTGACCACCGCCGGGCACACCGGCCCAGACCGTGACCCCTCCGCCTCCGCACTCGCTGGCATCTGACCACTGCCGGGCACACCGGCCCAGACCGTGCCCCCTCCGCCTCCGCACTCGCTGGCATCTGACCACCGCCGACACACCGGCCCAGACCGTGCCCCCTCCGCCTCCGCACTCGCTGGCATCTGACCACTGCCGGGCACACCGGCCCAGACCGTGCCCCCTCCGCCTCCGCACTCGCTGGCATCTGACCACTGCCGGGCACACCGGCCCAGACCGTGCCCCCTCCGCCTCCGCACAACCGCTCAGGCGGCTGCGAAGAGCCCGATATGGGTCTTTGAGTGCCACAGATTATCGGAGCATGCGTTCACGGGAAATGTAAGGGTTGTCGACTTTTCGGTCACCACGCTCGCGTCCTCCAGTCATAATTATAAAAAGCAGGGGCGCCAAAATGGTCTTAGCGTCGTCAGGACGTCCGTAGTCTCCGACGCCGCGGCTGTGTGGCGGGAACCGTGCACAACTGTACAGGCTAGCGGCTGTCCCACCGGGCGTGCGCGGGAGCGGCGGAGTTCTCAGGCCTCGACAACAGACGAGGCCCGAGAGCTGGCCTGGGTCCGCCCACTGCCCGAGCCGGGCGGGTGGGTGGCAGCTATTGAGGCCGTGGGGCGACTCACTCAGGACCCTCGCCCAGTCCCCACGCGTCCAACACAGTATCTTTCACAGCAGGCGTTAAATTGGGTTTGTCCATAGCGAGATTAGGCTGTCAGCTAACTGTTGGAGTCCCCGGTCAATATATGTCCAGTATCTACTTCATCAACACGAATGATGAGTGTGTTTCCTCATGTCACATATTTCATAGAAACTGGACCCCAGATCACTGAAGCTAAGTTGCGCATTACGACTCACGAAAATGTCACGACAGCTTCATTGCATGCGGAATGTTAGTGCCGATCGAATCGCAATTGAATATTTGGATCCACCTACCAGAAGCACATCCAACTTAGCCAACCGGGTCCCCGGAGATCACGCCAGGAGATCACAGCGGGAGATCACGTCAGGAGATCACAGCGGGAGATTACGTCAGGAGATCGCAGCGGAGGCCAGCCTGGACAGTGGCCTAGCGCTGGCATGGTGACGGTGGGCGACGGCGGATCCCCAATACCGCCACAACTACACCGTTACAGCAATTCTAATACGTCGGTCAGGACGAGGATGGACTTCATAGCAGCTGACATTATTCTTAGGAATAGTTTGGTCTGACTGAGACGGATAAAAGTTAGTGTCGCGGCACCAGGCAGGGCACATTGCTCCTGTGTGAGGGTGCACTCGTGTGTCAGTCCCCTGCAGTGAGCCCTTGGAAACGAGCCCCCGTTCGCACAAGCGGCTGCTGGCAAATAAAAAAAGCAATGCACGCGACGGGCTGGCCATGCCCTTTTCGGCACGCCACGACATGGAATCACGGCTCGGCGGGCTCCGCCAGCTCACGTCGGCAGATTGACCTTTGCACTGGGCAAACACAGCCCAGGGACGCCGCTGCTGCACGGCCGCTTCGCTGGCGACCAAAGGCGAAACAGCGAATTGTCTTAAACGATTCAATACAGCGGGCGAGCAGTCTAGACTCGCCCCACGAGCGTGCCTCGTCGCGGCTGTCGTCTGCAGGCCGGCGAGTTGGCTGACTGTACGCTGCTGGACGTGTCCCCCCCCCTGCCTGCCTGGCCGAGGGGGGTAATCCCGTCTGGCGTCTGCTCAGCCATGTCGCGCCTGTTTGACCCGCGCAGGTGGCCGTGCACGGCCCATTAGGACTGGGAGAAGCGTGCACGTGACGTGTAAGCATCGCCCTGAGCTCCTGACCGGCACTGTGCACCGGCTCTGACCAGCGGAGGCCAGTCCGGCGGCGGCCGATGTCCGACCAGCGACAAGCAGCGCCTGCTGGGCGTGTCACCATTGCCTGGCTGGCGTGGGTGTGACTTGCACACGGCGCACCTGCCTGCTGGGTCGCAGCCTGGCACAGCAGTTACCCACGCCAGCCAGCCAGCGCTGGCCCAGCCAGCGCTGGTCCAGCCAGCGCCACCGTCCTATCAACCCCATCGTCGGCCCGCCTAACGATGAGCCGGCGCGCCGGTCAGGCAAACAGCTGGCCGTGACGGCGGTGTCACGGCGGCACGCGGCCTGCCGACGCCTCGTGCGGCCGCGGCTCACTTCGCCGCCGAATTCTGCCGCTCCAACTCAGGGCGCGCGGCTCCGAGCTGGCAACCCAACGTGCGCTCTCTCCGACAGCTGGGTCCGGGCGTCCCGGGCCGCGTGGGACATCTCCGCCAGACACCACCGCCTCTCAGCTCATCCGGACTTCAGCGCCTCTAGCGCGACACCCGGCTAAGAGGGCGCACCAGCCGAACTAAGGGCAGCGTATTTGCTCGTTGTTTTCGATATCCAGTGACTCTACCTAGGTGCCCGGTCTGGCAGCCGTTTTTGCCGCATTTCTTGCCCTGTGGCGGCCCACCCCGTTCACCTTCTCGGCGTGATGCCGCTCCTATTATTCGCCACATTACACTCCAACCCCCCAGAAGAGAAGCGACCATGGTTTCTGACACGCAGTACTCTCCGGGCTGTAATCGACTTTGGCTTTCATTCAATCCTTTTCCTGACCATCGACCTGGAAGCTCGGTTGGTTGAAGCGTCTGTCTTCCGATTCACCTGCCCGTGGCGAAATGATTCAAGATGCTTTCAGGCTCGCTGTTTTCCTTAAATTGTGAGATTGCGACCGGTGGCAACGGCTTTGCTAAAGGCCAGTTGACGTCGAAGGGCAGGACGGACCGTGCTGAAAGTTGCGTGGTGTGGTCAGACCTCAGGCAACAAACACTGTTTAGCGTGGGCTCTGATTTCAGAACTTCCTCCAATGAAATTGCTTTGACCGAACCTTTACACAGCCATTCATGAATTTATCTGCTCAGAAGAATTACACTTTCTTTAAGTGCTTTCCACCCCTGACGACTTCTTCACTTGAAACCGGCGAGACAGACATCGGCTTAGAAACCATAGAAACCATTAGAAACCACCATGTTCTGTGTGTCTGTCCCCGTACCGTGCGAAGGTCAGGCTGGTGATGACGTCACACTGTAGGCGAGGTCGTCACACTGATGACGTCACACCGCAGGCGAGGACGGCTGCGTCTGCCGTGGCAGCTACCCGATAACGTCTACTGGAGTGGGATGTGGGCTGCAACACGCATTTGCATAGGGTCGCCAGCGGACGTCGGCCCTGTTGTCACCGCCGCCCGCTCATTCCGGGCAGTCGGCCGCCGCACCCGGCCACACTGGCGCTCGGGCTCGACCAGCTGCATCGGTCGGTCCCCGTGTACTCACAACTCGCTGGCGTTCCCCCGAAGTGCAGACCACCACAGTGGTCTGACCAGCTGGCGGCGTGAGGTTCTCAGCAGCCTCACAGGCCGGCCTCTCCAGTCGGCGCGCGCGGAGCCGTGCCCGGACACTCCGAACACTCCGGCGTCGCCCGAGTGTCCGGGAGCAGCTGAGCCCGAGTGTCGCCGGCGCCGCGTAACCCGCCCACTCCCGCGGAGCACTCCCGGGTGCGGCGGCAGCGGCCGGTCACCGGTGGGCCGCTGACACCGTCCGCAGGCGAACCTCCGAACAACAAGACGCGCGAACTTTGCATTCGGCAATCGTTGATAGAAGGTGGGACAACATAGTTTGACCCGATTCGCATGTTAAATATATTTCAAAAATGGAAACATCCCCCGAAGTTGACTGAAATACCTCAAAGACGAAACGATGCTATACTCGCCTACTCTAGCATAGGGGCGAGCGATTTTCCCCGACGCCAGAGCCAGCGATTTCGTCAGTGTGCGACAGCTCATCGCGAGCGCCCGGCGCCGGCCGACCCCCGGCTGTGTGGTCTCCGGCTCGGTGGCATTCATTACCAATTGCTTTTCACAGATAGCGTGGCGGCGGGGCGCAGCGCCTTATTGATGGCCCGTAATTCGGCGCGCGCCGCCCGCCGCGTTACGCCACCTCGAGGCGCCGGCGGCGTCGCCGACCGCGCCGATCTCACGCGCGCGGCGACTGTAAATCCCCCGAGAACCCCGGCGCAAGCGGCACTCGGCGCCGAGACGTGCACTTCGTCAGGTATACTGCCGGTGTGTGGCCGAGCTCGCCTGCAAAGTAATGGCCATCGCCGAGCAACGGTAATTTTGGTGATAAAGCGCCGTCTTAGATCAGCGTTATTTGAGAACTCGCTGTCCTCGTTCGGCGCCATTTCTGTACAGCCAATTCAGGTTCGTATTTGTGAGAGAAGGGCGGTGGCAAATCGTCTCGATCTTATCTAACATCTACCTATTGAGCGCGTCGAGGTTCCTTGTTTATGGAAGGGCGGCCCGGTGTCGGACAATACAGCCGGTTGTTTATGCGCCGGGTCACGAGCCGCCATCTGCGGGGACGGCTGCCGAGGGTCGGAGGCGGGCGCGTGCGACGCCGGCCCGATCTCACAGCAGTCCGCTGGCCGCTCCCGACGGCGACCGTCCGCTGGCACGCGGCCGCGCCGCCGCGCCCGTGAGTGCTGCCGTCCAGTCCCGGACGCGCCCCGTCGCCACGTTCGCAGGTGTCGCCGGCGCCTCCGGCCATCCGCCATCGCGTCTCGATCCACACCTGGCCGTCTGCCGTCCAGCGCAGCCCAGCCGGCCGGCTGTCTCGTGGCGTCAGGCGTCCGACCCCGGCCGGCGCGTCCCCGTGTCGGCCAGCCGCCGCCGCTCGCCGCCTGACACGCAGACACGCATTCCGCTCCCGTAATGAGCCGGCGTGAATGCGCGCCGCGGCTCCGGGAGCGACGGCGCCGCGCCTCCCGCCAGGACGCCGCAGACGGACGACGGCGGCCCGGGCCAGCTGCGGGCACCCGCGGTCATGCGCGGTCCGTGCGGTGCCGAGCCACGCTGGGCGGAGGCCCCGGGGCGAGGCCGGGTCAGTGATGTGGCCAGGGGCGAGGCCGGGTCAGTGATGTGGCCCGAGGCGAGGTCGGGTCAGTGATGTGGCCAGGGGCGAGGCCGGGACAGTGATGTGGCCCGGGGCGAGGTCGGGTCAGTGATGTGGTCCGGGGCGGGGCCCGACCCGACCTGACCTGACCTGACCAGACCAGACCAGACCAGACCAGACCAGACCAGACCTGAACTGAACTGACCTGACCGCCGCCACAAGCGGCCGGGCCTGTCTCGGGACGCCAAAGCTCAGACGCTGCAATCAAATCGTATTCGGAGAACGTGGGAAAACGCCGCTGATTAATTCGGCGTTGATCAGGGGGGCCAGATATGCTAATAGACCCCTCCCATGTAATTCGCTGCTATCACACGGGCAGTGCAAAGTTATGAGATGGCGAAGCCGCTAGCTTTCATCGTCATGTCAGTACCTACCGTGCCGAGGCCGGCTGCTGCTGGAGCGTGTAGCTCGCTTGGGACGAGCCAGGGCTGCACTCGGGTCAAGCTCGGGCCGCACTCGGATCGTCGCTCAGCGTGCGACAGAGCGGGCCAGGCGTGTGAACTGACCCAGTTCGGCCAGCCTGTACGTCACAAGGAGACAGACAAAAGCGTGTACGCCGGAACCCTAGTGGCGAGCTCGCAGGAGCACAGCGGCTCGAGCACATTCCCGCTGGGGATCACACCCCGCTGGTCGCTGGCTCACACTCCTACTGAGGCTCACACCTCCGCTGGACGCTGGCTCACATCCCCGCTGGACACTGGCTCATAGCTCCGCTGGACACTGGCTCGCACCCCTTCTGAGTCTCACATTCCCGCTGGACGCTGGCTCACACCAACGCTGGGACTCACATCCCCGCTGGACGTTGGCTCACATCCCCGCTGGACGCTGGCTCACACCTCCGTTGGGGCTCACATCCCGCTGGACGCTGGCAAACAGTCACTAATGAGCGTCCCAGAAAACAGACATGTCAACACAGGGCTTGTCGGCATATAATGACAGGCAAACAGGGACAGTGCTACCGAGCAGCCACCGCCATTCTGACAGCGCGGTCGCCAGCCCAATTACCCCACTCATCTCGGCGCACAGATCTGTCCGCCAGCCGCCCGCAGCACAGCCGTCTAAACATTCCGATGTCCGTCTCAGAATGGCACAGCCGAGCCGGGTAAGAGCTTTACCCAGTTCATATTGAGGCTCTTGATGAGCCAGACGCCTGATTCGTGGTAGCTGCTATTCCAACGAGTTTCATTCTTCATAAACATAGCCGTGCCATGAACAGACCTTGTTCGTGGGAGCTACGACGCTTATCTCACCGGATGTTCATCGTGCGCGACAACACTACTAAAGAAGCCATGATGAGAATAAAACCATCGAAAATCTACCCTGTCGTCCTGAGCATTTAACAATGACGTCGCCTTACGTTTGGTTACCACATTTCTTCATGGACGCTGGAGATCTAAGCCAGTGAAATCGCCTGCATCTGAGCTCCCTCCTGACTCGATGCCGTCATCATCCCCTGAGTCCTGAGTGGCCAGCGCAGGCCGCTCGTTGCCGTCATCATCCCCTGAGTCCTGGGTGGCCAGCGCAGGCCGACCGACCGGAGGTGTGTCTCCGCTGGGCTTGGCTCGGCTCGGAGAGGTACCAATGCCCGTTCCAGAGAACCGGACTAGAACTGGTGACAGCTGAAGAGGGCTGTCGACGGGAGATCAAATCCCGCTTGTCGCCCGCTGGGAAACACGAGTCTCATTTAACGAAAGCTGCTGCTGCGAGCAGACTCGGTTCAGCCTCAGCTGGGAGCGGCCGCTATCTGGTAATCTCATGGGTCGGTCAGACGTTAGTTGTGACCCGCAGTCGGCCGCCCCATCACACAAGAGTGTGAAAAATGAGTGAAACGTGCGAGAGTCTGCATACCGCTCCTGGATCTCATTCTGTCGTTACGCACATTCATGCAAGCCTCGTGCACCAGAGCCGAACATCAGTAAGTACCAGACAGCGAAGCTCATATAACCGCGGCCTCCTGGTAGAGAGCGCATTGCCACTCTCGGTGTGACAGTGGACGCCAACGATGCCACCCTCAGAGGCCGGAGCTGCAGTGAGAGGCATGTGCGTGTGATGATGCGCATCTCCACGCTCAGGCAGTCACCATGCAGGACAGTGGACATTATGACACGTCAGAGGACAACCCTGCGGCGTTATTTGTGTCCTGATGCACCAGAAGACAACTCTGCGGCGTTATTTGTGTACTGATGCGTCAGAAGACAACCTGTGGCGTTACTGATGTCCTGACACGTCAGAAGACAACCCTGCGGTGCTATTGGTGTCCCGATGCGTCAGAAGACAACCCCGTGGCGTTATTGATATCCTGCTGCGTCAGGAGACAACCCTATGGCGTTATTGGTGTTCTGATGCGTCAGAAGACAACCCTGCAGCTTTATTTGTGTCCTGATGCGTCAGAAGACAACCTCGTGGCGTTATTGGTGTCCTGACACGTCAGAAGACAACCCTGCAGCATTATTTGTGTCCTGATGCGTCAGAAGACAACCCCGTGGCGTTATTGGTATCCTGATGCGTCAGGAGACAGCCTGTGGAGTCAGTGGTGTACGGATACGTCAGGAGACAATCTGTGGCGTCAGTGGGGTCCTGACGCGTCAGGAGACAACCCTGTTGCGTCATCGGCATCCTGCTACGTCAGAGTGCATCTTAATGCGTCATCAGTTGATGATGATCATGTTTGAGGGTTTTATGAGCGCATCGACTGACATTGAAGCAGTTTCGCACTCGATTACAGTACTTGCTGAGCGTCATGCTGCTAATACGGGGAGTAAATGGCAAGTGTAGTGCACAGAAATATCAGCACTTGATGCGGCTCTTGTTCAGTATGCTGTTTAACCAATAACTTCAGTGACCTGGGGCCACTGAAGAATTCCTGTCTCCCTGCAGACAGCTGTCGACAGCCGATTAAGAGATGACTTACAGCACGTATTGCGCCGCATCTTCTGCATAAGGGAAGTTCTCGAGAGTTGTTTTATCGAAACATGTGCGGGCTGTACGTATGGCCAATGTGTGGGTGTGTAAGTGTTGCCTTCCAGAAATGGTGACGCCCGGACGCCTTTGGTTGGTCTGATAGCTTTCAGCTTGTTTGAATGGTGCTCATTGCTCCACCTGACTTGCCATTTGCCTTTTGACTTGTCATTTGCCAACCATATGCTCACTCGCTTCTATGTACATGTCATTTGCGGGCATTCACAATGTACCGTCAGATGTAAAAAGCGTGGCATGCTTATCAGTCCGGTCTGCCGACTCGTTGCCCGCCAGTCACACGTGGCTGGGGTCCAAAGCAGCATCGTGCACTTAAAATTCTCGTTCAGCGCAGCAAGTTCTCTTACAATCGGTAAAACCCGGTATAATGGCAGACGTAAAGACGTTCTCCAAAGATATGACGGTGAGCGTGTGGGCGTTCTCCAAGGATATGATAGCGGACGTGTGGATGTTCTCCGAAGATATGATGGCGGACGTGCGGATGTTCTCCGAAGATAGAATGGCGGACGTGTGGGCGTTCTCTAAAGATCGCCGTCGGGCGTGCTGCCACGTCAGGGTACGCCCTGTGGCGTCACCAGACAGGCGCGCTCCTGGCGCAGGCGCCGGCTGAGTGCGTGATTCACCACACGAGACGGCGCCAGCCTGCCCACCGCCGTGAAGTCAGCCGTCTGATGCATTGTGCACGTCCTGTTGATCTGGAGCGGGCGACACGTGCCGAGCCAGTCCTGGCCGCCGACGGGCTCAGCTGGAGCCGTCCCCAGAGCGGCAGGACGCCAGATATGGCGGCGTCATGGCGGCGTGTCGCACCCAGCACGAAAGCGAGCACACCCCAACAAGGAGAGGCACACAGCGGTGCCACCAGCGTCCGGCAACCAGGTGCACACCGCTGCGCAGCCGGCAAAGGACCGCGTGTAACCCGTGGAGGTTCTCAGCACAAAGGACCGCGCGTAACCCGTGGAGGTTCTCAGCACAAAGGACCGCGTCCAACCCATGGAGGTTCTCGGCACAAAGGACCGCGTGCAACCCGTGGAGGTTCTCAGCACAAAGGACCGCGTGTAACCCGTGGAGATTCTCAGCACGAAGGACCGCGCGTAACCCGTGGAGGTTTTCAGCACGAAGGACCGCGTGTGACCCGTGGAGGTTCTCAGCACGAAGGACCGCGTGTAACCCGTGGAGGTTCTCAGCACAAAGGACCGCGTGTAACCCATGGAGGTTCTCAGCACAACTAGCTCGCTTTTCAACGAGGTTGCTGCTTTCATAACAAGACTTAGTGCTTATGGTCATGTGTTTCTGTCAGCCATAAATGTTTGTAGAATTTTCATCATGTACTTCATGATCTGCCAGCATGAGTTGTGTGAAGCAGCGTACATACATACGCCCCGCTGCATATTTCATTCCCTCAGCTGTGTAAACAGCAATGAATTAGGGCTACTGGTCTTCTGAAACAAAATATTGACGATGACATTGCAAACGTAGCCCGTAAACCATGGGCTCATTGACCATAACACCTAATCATTCAAGCGAGGATTTCAAAAATAGATGATTCCAGACCACAGCTACCAAGGGCGTAGACAGGTCACTAGTGCATCCTCATAAGGTGATGCACAAGGAAGAGGAATTGATTGAAGGAGTGACATAACCGTTCTGCGGTATCTGGAGATGACATCACCGAACCGTCGCGCCAGCGGTCGGCATATTCACAAACATATTCTCTTTGGACCGGAAAGGCCAGAGTTCGTGAGGCTGAAGACGTACAACGCAGCGCCGATTTCATCCAGGTCATATTGCAAGCCCCGCATCATAAGCGACAAGAACACACGAAGGCACGGAAGGCTGAGGGAGGCCATGCGTCACGTGGTGCTTCCCAGCCACGGCCAATCTCGCGGCAGCACTATTTGGCAGCGAAAATATCCATCCACCAGGTTGTTCAGCCAGCCTGCGGAGAACTAGCCGCCTCAAGCTCTGGCCTATACGCGCGCGCACGCGTTTGTGCAGCCACGTAAATACATCTTACAAATGCGGCGGGGTGGTTTTGATGTTTTGGGTTTATTATAATTTGAATTTGTGCGTGTCTGAAAAAGGTACACACGTGCAACTATACGTCGGTAGTCAGTACGGGCTAGATGGTTACTATGGTTCCTTGCTCATGCATGTTCCCTGCCTATGTATCCCAGTTGGGCCAAAATGCTTGCGCACATTTTGGGTGGAGTTCGAACGTGGGCAGGTAGATCAAGTAGATGGCAGATCATGTAACAACACGCCATAACCGTAGGCCATGCATTCATGTGAGTCAAGTGTATGCGAACGATTTGGGGCAGGCTTATATCCTAACAACGAGCGCCAAGGTGTGAATGTAGAAATGCTTGCGATGGGCAAATACCCTTCGGCAGTATACTCATATACCGCGCGGTATATGAAGGCAATAAGTAATGTGCTACATTATGTATAATATGACGCATAGCATAGAACCTTCCTTGGAAAATTTTGATGGCTCAAACACTTTTTGAGTAAAAACGAACAGCAGGTACACCGTCATCGCAATCTGTTTATTCACAGTTCAATCCTTTCTAGTTGACTTCAACGGTGAAGATTCCTTTCAACCATTGTCTGACGTTTGTGAAATATCGTCTGAAGTGAGGCTTCAGGAATTCGGACGCCTCGTCTGGGGCAGCGTGTTCGGCATGTGCAATGGGAAGATCGGGGCTCTAAGCGACTGCTTGGGAATTCAAACACTCACCTATTATGGCCTAAAATGACCATCTCACATTCGAGAGCAGCAGATATCTGAAATATCACGTCACATTCGTACCACAAATCACCCATAAAGCGTAGGCTTTTATTCCAATAATCTGAATTTTTGGTTAATTTCTACCAACTGCACGCTATAAATGAAACTGGTAGGGCGTCTCGTACTTGACGCCATGAGAAATGTATCACATTTCGGAGTCCGTCGCTTTGCATACAGCACTCAAGTGTATGCAACATTTCCAGCGTTCAATGGACACGCAATCGCAATCACACTCTTGTGACGGCTGGACGTCAAATACACTTTCACCCTGTCAAAGAACAGGCATTCCAGCCGAGGCGCCTGCCGCACCTGCGCCGGTAACGCACGCTTGTTTTCCTGCCCGCGCCGGCGATCCGACTTCGGCCGGAAACGGGCCAGGCGGGCTCGATCGCACCGAGAGAGGGCCGCTGAACGAATGCCCACAACAGCGATTTCTCCTTGCCTCGCAGAGCGCTGACTCGCGATTATTCATCGGGCAGCTATCAAGGCAATCAGCATGCGAGACGTCGGCCTCATCAGCATACAGCCACAACCGGCCTGGTCCGCCGGCGCACCGCCGGTTGCCACCCACGGCAGGTTGCGTTGGAAACACACACGCCCTCAAGCCAGGTGGCATTGTCGAGATACGGTAAGTGCTCGCGGCAGGGCCCCAGATAAGACAAGACTGCGTGGCGGCAGATATGCCGGATATCCGATATCCTGTCACACGGCTGCACACCAGTATGAGTCGCAGTCTGCGGGCCTTGTACGGCTCGGCAGCCGTCTAACCAGCTGACCCGAGGTCAGGATGCGGAGCTCCTCCGCCCAGCGTGCTGACCCGATGTCAGGGTGCGGGACCCCGCCCGCCCGGCGTGCTGACCCGATGTCAGGGTGTGAAACTCCGCCCGCCCAGCATACTGACCCGAGGTCAGGGTATGGGCCCCATCAGCCCAGTGTACGTACTGTGACGTCAACCCACTCCATCAAGATCGTCTTTCCATCAGCTATCTTTTATGCCGACGGATGAATCAGCCACCGCAGGCGTCAACGATAGAGACACCGTCGGATCGGCGTAGCGGGGGGCGGCGACACGTGGCCGGGGGACGGCGGCACGCGGCCGGGGGACGGCGACACACGGGCGAGGGGGGTGGGGTGGAGAAAACGGCCGCTGGTGACGCGCTAACCCGTGGCCTGACCATACTCCACGTCACGTTGCCAGTAAACACTGACCGAATCGGATGCAATTTCGGAAGAGGGTGAAAACGTTCGGAGACAAGCAAGCCCATTTCGATAAAAGTTCACAGCAAACCCAAGAGCGATAGGAAGGCGTTCATGTGCAAAAGCCTTTGTTTCAAAGGCATTACATTCACACTTGCACATCACGTTATGCGAAAAAGAACTTAGTGTCTAACTTAGTGTCTCGGCAGCGTTAACTTGATAACCATGTTCGAGTGCTAGGCTTGACTTGACGGCTGACGTTTATACAAATCACAGAGAGATTATCTGCATAGCGGCAAAGAGAAGGCATGAGTAGTGCTCTGTATTGACACGGCAGCGGCGGAGAGAAGGAATGAGTAGTGCTCTACAGTGGCAGGGCAACGGCGGATAGAAGGCATGAGTTGTGCTTTGTAGAGGCACGGCAACAGTGCAAAGGAGACATCAGTAGTGCTCTGTAGTGACACGGCAACGGTGAAAAAGCATGGATAGTGCTCTATAGTGACAAGACAGCGGTGAAAAGAAGACATCAGCCGTGCTCTGTGGTGCCACGGCAACATCATAATGTGTAGTGGTCAGCAAGTGTACATCGAATGTCGTACCTGGAAACATATGCGTCGGTTTTTAAGGTTTGAAATCAAGTGGAGCACAAGGGCCAGCGGATGCCTGATGGAATACCTCACACACCGGCGTGACAGGTGGCGCTGGCAGGCGGGGATGGTCGAGAGCCGGGACTGAATGAAAACAATGATTTGTCCACACCAACAGAATGTATGCGTGGACAGCCGAAAATGTTGCCAGGCACCGTACTACTAGAGCCCACCAAAGCAGCAGCTAATGCTAAATATCGCGATAATGTGTTGGGTCTAGTGCGAGACTTTAAGGACAGCCCGAAACGTCATTGGTCCTTTATTAAGTCCTTGAAGTCATCAGCGCACATATCTCCCGTTCTTGCGTGTGATGGTAATGTGCGCGACGGTGATGAGGAGCCTACCAACTGTCTGCATACGTGTTTTGCCCGTAAGTTCTGCGACGCTAGCGTTCGCATATTGCCTGACCCACACTTGGTCGATGCGCCTGGATTAGAATGGCTTACCGTACCACACGGCCGTATCGCCCTCCCGTTACCCGATCTCAGTGCACACCAGGCCTGCGGTCCCGACGGGCTCAGTGCCCGGATTTTCACGGAGCGTGCCGAGGAGCTAGCTCTCCTGTTAGAAATACTATGTAAGCTTTCTCTAAACTCTGGCGTCCTCCCTGCCATGCGGAAGCAGGCGAACGTGATACCGGTGCACAAGAGGAACCCCAAAAAGCTGCCTGAAAATTACAAGCCTGTGTCTTTGCCTCATATCTGCTAAAAAATATTGGATAAATTGTGAGGAAAATCTACCAAAGCGCTCCTGCATCACAAACCTTTTAAAGAGCATATCAATATGTCAATGCACTCAAACTAACGTAAATGCCGTATATCTTCGCAGCATCAGACGCCCAAAATGCAAGCGTATTGCATTGATGCGCGGCACGTTTTGAAGCCTAATGGTATCAGCGACATCGATTAGGTTAAATGCAAATCA